GGAGAGGGCGAGGCTCGTTTCGGGTTCATTTCTGGGCCTCCGAGGGCAAAGCGCCGCCAGCGGGGGCTTGAAACGGCAGCGGCTTGAGTCTCGCGGTCCGGGAGGCAGGAGTCGGAAATCCCGGGCCCTCGGGAGGGCCTCGTCGCCAGGCCCGCCCCGCCTTCTCACGGCCTCCTCTGACTCCTTTTTTTGAGTCAGGGTCTCACTCTTGCCCAGGCTGAGTGCAGTGGCACCCGCGCGGCCACCGGGCGATCCTTTTGCCTCAGCCTTGCAAGGAGCGGGAGCCAGGGGTGCGCACCACCCGCCCAGCTGACTTTTTTGACGACTTATTTTGGAAGCGAGGTCTCGCTGTGTGGCTCGGGCGGGTCTGGGACCCCGGGGCTCAAGCCCTCTCTCGCCTTCGCCTCCCCCCAGGTAGTCCAAGACGGCCTCACCGCGAGTGCCGTAACTTGGTTACACCTGGGAAGACCCCTTTCCCGACAAAGCCATGCTCCCAGGCCCTGGGGGCGGGACGTGGTCACATCTTTGGGGGCTGCCGTTCAGCCCCCAGGGACCCTTTCCGCCCAGCCAGCCCTCAGGGCCTTGGGGGCTGTGTTTCAGGGCCTGGAATCTCCGCCTACACCTCCAACCCCACACGGGCCGGCGAGAGCTTGCAGGGCTGCCTGCAGGAGGCGCTGGCACTGATCCCCGAGACCCAGCACCGGAAAACACCCCTGTTCTTGGGGGCCACAGCTGGCATGCGGCTGCTCAGGTGAGGTGGGCACGGCCTGGCCATGCGGGCGGCGGCCAAAGGTGCCAGGCCTCAACAACCCAGGGCGGGACCGCCACCGCGGGACCCGGCTTCCCGCCAGCCCCGCCCTGCCCTCTCTGTCCAGCCAGAAGAACAGCTCTCAGGCCCGGGACATCTTTGCAGCGGTCACCCAGGTCCTGGCCCGGGCTCCTGTGGATTTTCGGGGCGCGGAAATCCTGGCTGGGCGGGATGAAGGTGCCTTTGGTTGGATCACCATCAACTACCTCCTGGGGATGCTGGTGAAGGTGCCACGGGTGGCCGGCGGCGGGGACCAGGGGGTGTGTCTGGGGCTGGTGACACTGCCCGGGGGCAGGACTTGGGGCCAGGGCTGGGGCTGGCGGGCTGGCGCTGGGGTCAGCGTGGTTGCCAGGGCTGA